GTGAAGAACAAAAAGAGAAATAACACTGAACACGAAAGGGAAGAGAGACGCAAGAGCACTGTAATCCCTTATGTTGCAGGCCTGTTGGAAAAACTCAAGAGGATCTTTGGCAAACACCATATTCCTGTTCATTTCAAGCCTGGTAACACACTAAGGCAAAAGCTAGTCCATCCCAAGGACAAAACACCGAGACATAAACAGAGTAATGTGGTGTATGCTGTCTAGTGCAGCGAGGAATGCTGGGACCTGTACATTGGGGAAACTAAACAACCACTTCACAAGCGCATGGCTCAACACAGGAGAGCCTCTTCCTCAGGTCAAGACTCAGCTGTCCACCTTCACTTAAGGGACACGGGTCACTCTTTCGAGGACAGAATGTACAGGTGTTGGCTAGAGAATACAGATGGTTTGAAAGAGGAGTTAAAGAAGCCATCTTTACCAGACTGGAGAAACCTTCTCTGAACAGAGGGGGTGGACTCAGGCACAATCTCTCCGGCACTTACAATGCAGTTCTCAGCTCTCTCCCCAGGAAGCTCCACAAACATTCACACCTGGGACCACATAACTCAGGTGGAATGATTCATGTGGTTACATGACAGGGGTCTTTAACAACCCTTTCAGGATAACGACCCTCAGGGGGAATACCCGGAGATGGGTTTCTATGACCCATTCTTTCCAACTCCTCCCAGTCATTGACTGTCCCCTTCTCCAGTAAGATAAATATCTGCTCCTCACACTAGCAATAATTATAACTGAAGAAGCTTCTTGGATAAGAGGCGAAACGTCTTCTCAACTCTACACAGCCCAGTTGTCTGATTTTGGAGTCTTCAAGAAAACCATGACCTGGATGAATGAGAATCTACATGGTCAACATCTCATTAGTTGCTGATCAGCAGTGCTGCTCAATTTATCATGAACCCTCCTGTTGTCCTCAAGTTAAGACCGACATCCCATGTCTCAAGGGTCACACTGTCCCAGTCCACACTGACTGGGGTCTTTTTGACCCAGTAAGACAATAATGGCAAACCTGCATCCCAAGTCTCAGGGGTCACACTGACTGGGGGGGTCTTTTTGACCCAGTGAAAGGTCCTGTAGTCCTCACACAGTAAACCTGCATCCCACGTCTCAGGGGTCACACTGACTGGGGGGTCTTTTTGACCCAGTGAAAGGTCCTGTAGTCCTCACACAGTAAACCTGCATCCCACATCTCATGGGTCACACTGTCCCCAGTGTGGAAATATACACACACACACACACACACACACACACACACACACACACACACACACACACACACACACACCCAGCAGGCAGGCAGGCAGGCAGGCAGGCTAGACTCACACACATACAGGCCACGTTGGATGTTATTGACAAACTAGATGTGGGGTCATTTGTACCCCAAGCCCAGGGGGTGGGTAGGTATTATAATAATAATAATAATAATAATAATAATAATAATAATAACAATAATGATGTCATTTTAATTTTAATATAAAATAATCCCAAACCTTATCTTTTTTTTGTCGTCTTCTTTTTGTAAAAATGATACAGAACTATGACCAATGACAATTGTGTTTAGATAGTTAGATAGATAGATAGATAGATAGATAGATAGGGTGTGTGTGTGTGTGTGTGTGTGTGTGTGTGTGTGCGCGGTGTCAATCAATCCGTCTCCAAATTCTCAGCAGCACACTCAGCGCAGTATGGAAGAGAACAGCTTTTGCAGATATATTTCTTACACCCGCTGCACACAGTGGAAGTTTTTTTGTCCTTTGCCCACTGACACCTCTTCCTCGCCGCGGTCGGGTCATCTGCTCCTGACGCCGCTCCGGCAGCTTCCGTTACTTCCGTATCCTCACCCTCACCGTGAGTTCTAGATCTAGACACGGCCCTCCGAACGCCTCGGACAACTGCCGCCGACGCTTCCACGCGAGGGAGACGCTCCCTTCGTTCTATCAACGGAGTCACCAGCGCCTTTCCCAGCCGCTCTAGGAACACCCTTCTGTTGTTCCGCTTCTGAGGCATCCATTCAGGGTTTAGTTCTTTCCATATCACAAAGGCATTGTAGGAGGAAACGTCAACACTGTTGTGAAACACGACCAGGGGCCAGCGAGCCATCATCCTTCTACAGCTGTAGGTTCCAATCACCTTGTCGAGGTTATCGACTCCTCCTTTGCAGCTGTTGTAGTCTAGTATGATGACCGGCTTTCTGTCGCGGCGATCGCTGACTTCGGCCTCCGTGTGCTTCGTGCTAACCAGCAGCACGTATTTGTTTTTCTTGGGCACGTAAGAGACCGCGGCAGTGGTCGACGTGAAGGTGAATTTCGACGAGAACACCGCTCTTCCCTTCGGCGAGAGCAGCGCGAGTGGGAGCTCGGGCTTGTTTTTTCGAATGGTGCCAACCATGGTCATCTTCCTTTTCAGCAGCTGCTGCCCGAGTTCGTAAGAGGTGAAGAAATTGTCGCAGGTGACATTGCAATCCCTCAGTCCCTCCGTGACATTGAGCACGACTCGCATCCCCGGGTTCTTTCCCGGGCCGTGGCCTGCGCGTGGGCCCGGGTCTTCTCGTCCTCCTCCTCGTCCTCGTCCTCCTGCTCCTCCACCACCTGCAGCTGCAGCTGCGTTTGTGGCCGCAGCCTTCCCTGTGTACACTTCTATCTTCCAAGCGTAACTGGATTTAGAGTCGCACGCCACCCACGTCTTGATCCTGTATTTCGCTGGCTTGCTGGGAATATACTGCCGAAAGGGACAACGCCCTCTAAATGGAACCAGCTGTTCATCCACCGTTATCTCCGGCCCGAGGTTGTAGAGGTACAGCAGCCGCGGGTCTGGCGGGTCTCGACTCGCGGTCGTCGAATCTCAGCAGTCTAGAGTAGGCGTGAAACACTTTCAGCGGCATCGTAGCGCGGAAGATGGACCATCCGCTCTCAGCGTCCCACAGACTGACGGTCGCCTCGCCTCGGGACCTGTAGACGCCGGCTAAAAGCAGCAGCCCTATGTAGGCGCGAAGGCATCCATGCGTTTCCAGCTGTCTCCGATTTTCCGTCTCCCCTCCAAATTAGTCATCTCCAAGATGATGCGTTCTATCAACGGGGTGATGACCATGAAAAATGTGGAGGCGATGTCGAGGGCGTGGACGAGAGAATATTCAGTCGGTCCGGGTGGGCTGGTTGTCGGCAGTAACGGCGATGACGGCATTGGTGGGGATGGCATCGGCGGGGACGGCATCGGCGGGGACGGCGTAGCCCCACTGCTCCTGTCTTTTCTACCCCGCTCTTGTTTATCGTACGCTACGGAGGACCATATGATTTTGTCGTGTTTTGAGAGAAAAAACAAACCTTCTTCTTTCGCTTGCTCCTCTCTCTCACCTGCTATTACCCCTTCTTCTTCTTCCTCTTCCCCCTCTCTTTCCATTTGCTCCTCTCTTTCTTCTGTTACCCTATTTCTTCTTCTTTTCCTTCCTCTTCTTCTTCTTCTTCATCTTCCCTGTTCGGTTGGTTACTTGCCTCATAATCCTCCTCCTCAGACACATCCTCTGCTTCTTCATCGGGATTGCCATCATCAGAGAATGCATCTGACAACATCTGTTGCATGACCTGCATAGCGGTAAACTCTGGACTCATGGCTGCAGTGCAGTATTGGTTTTTTTGTTGTTGTTGTTTTAGTAGTTATTGTTGTAATGCTGTATTAGGACAAGGATTGGTAGTAGTACAAGTGTTATGCAGGTGTAGTACGATTTTACGGAGATGTGACTCAACTTGCTATAAACTTGATCTATTCATTCACACACTGCACTTTTCTTTTGGATATTGTGCGTTGCACATTGCAGTAAACATTTTTTTTTTTAATCTTATTTGTATAGCACTTTATCTTTTACAAAACATATAATCTCATTGGTGTTCAGACAGCATCCTAACAATATTTTCCCCCCTTGAACCCACACATAAACAGAGGAAAAGTAATATGAAATATTGGAAACAGTTTGGTCTCTTTATTTGTTTCATCATCCCTTACAGGATCACATGTATATATATTTATATATATAAACCTTAACACAGACAGATTGAAACACATAATCAAACAGGAGCTAGTACAGTCAGTGATATCGAGTCCACATTTTGTGATGTACTCTCAACTCTACAAAACGTTTTCCCTCCTCAGCTTCCTTTGTGTCAGAGGCTAAATATGAGGAGTGGGGACATGTCATCTCAGAACCACGAATTTGTTCTTGTCTATCGCTGAACCAGCCGCTCACCTTCCTGACTGAACTGCGCAAAGTAAACGCAACTGGTTTAGTGGAAGAGAAGAACAGACATGTTGGCTTAGAGATGACATGACAACTCCAACTCCATGACATCTCATGACATCTTCATCATCCCTTACAGGATCAGCAAAGGTGTAGTGGACATTGTAAACAGTACAGACACACAGACACACACACACACACATACATACATACATGCAATTCATGCCAGGTGGGTACACCCTAAAACAAATGTTCTCTGTCAAACATCCAGATCAAACGATTAAGATTGGACATAGATATTCCGACAATTAAAATTGCGATTAGCACAAAAATATACAATAGCATCAAGCTCTTTTGAGCCACTTCGAACCTATATATATAAACATACATATATATATATTTGTGTGTGTGTGTTTGACTGAAATGTGTGTGTTTATGTGTGTAGACCTTGACACAGACAGATTGAAACACAAAATCATACATTCGAGTCCACATTTTGTGATGTACTCTCAACTCTATCAAACGTTTTTCCCTGGCTTAGAGATGACAGGACAACTCCAACACTCTTACCTCTGACTCTTACCTCTAGAGCCCAGGCGTTGTCCTCTTCGCTCAGGATCAGAGGAGCGCTTTTTTCCTCTCTGTTGATTCACAGACAAAGCTCGATCCTGTGTTTTATGGTTTTTATACTCACCAGTTTTTTTTTTTTGTTGTTTTTTATACTCACCTTCAGTGTTTCCCTCGTTGTCCTCGCTCAGCTGCAGTCTGCTTCTTTGTCCCTCGTTGGGATCGTCTTCGGCTGTAGCCACAGAGGCCAGCCGCTCTCGGGGAGAGCGCTTTTTGTTGCTCCTCTCCGCTGACTCGCAGAAGAATCCTCAATCCTGCGTTTCCTTCTGTGCACTACGCACTCAGGCGCAGTCGTGCGCCTTTTTCCCTCGTCAAGATCGTCTTCGGCTGTAGCCGCAGAGGCCAGCTGCTCTCGGGAGAGCTCTTTTTGTTGCTCCTCTCCGTTGATTCGCAGAAGAATCCTCGATCCTGCGTTTCCATCCGTGCGCTACGCGCTCAGGCGTATGATTGCACCTCTTTCCCTCGTCGAGATTGTCTTCGGCTTTAGCCGCAGAGGGCAGCCGGCTCCGGAAGAGCGCTTTTTGTTGCTCCTCTCCCTTGATTCGCAGATGAATCCTCGACCCTGTGTTTTATGATTTTAATACTCACCTGTTCTTATCCATTGTTTTTTTCATACTCACCTTCGGCGTTTTCCCTCATCGAGATCGTCTTCGGCTGTAGCCGCAGAGGCCAGCCGCTCTCAGGGAGAGCGCTTTTTGTTGCTCCTCTCCGTTGATTCGCAGAAGAATCCTCGATCCTGCGTTTCCATCCGTGTGCTACGCGCTCAGGCGCAATTGTGCGCCTTTTTCCCTCGTCAAGATCGTCTTCGGCTTTAGCCACAGAGGCCAGCCCGCTCCAGGAGAGCGCTTTTTGTTGCTCCTCTCCTTGTGAATCCTCCATCCTGTGTTTTTGGTTTTCTTCATACTCACCCCTGTCGTCCGTCCTTCCTCAGACAAATCCTCGATCCTGTGTTTTTATTTTTTGCTTGTTTTTTATACTCACCTGTTTTTTTTTTTGTTGTTGTTTTTTTAAACTCACCTTCAGTGTTTTCCTCGTCGTCCTCACTCAGCCGCAGTCTGCTCCTTTTTTCCCTCGTCGAGATCGTCTTCGGCTGTAGCCACAGAGGCTAGCCAGATCAGGAGAGTGCTTTTTCTCCTCTCTGTTGATTCACAGACGAATTTCCTCTGTCTGTGCAACAGAGGAATACAGCGGAGGTTTTTAGTCAAACATTTTCACGACAGCGTAGCAGAGGTGAGTTTTAGGCAACCATTTTTACAACCCGAAGGAGCTGCGGGCGAGTTGACCTTTTGGTCTCGTGAGCGCCTGCAGTCCCGACGTCCTCAACCCTCCACTGCGCTTTTTGTGCATCACAGGTGGGGTGTGTGTGGATTCAAAGACTCGTTTCTGTGTCATGTATTTGTTACGCTCTTACGATTACACAAAAAATACAGCTAAGTCCAATCGATACAAATTGTTCAGTCAGGAAGGTGAGCTAACGAATGATTGAATGCAACTCAGTGTAAGAGCAGAGCAAAGTCACGGCACAGAGATAGACCAAACAACTGCACAATTCAGTGGTAGTGGAGAGTGAGGAGATCATTGAGCCAAAGAGCAAGAAGTTTCAACCTCCCCATATTTTTGACGAGACATCCATTTCACTCGGCCTGCAAAGAAGAGAGAGAAATGTGGCTTAGGGGATACGGAGCTATTACAGTGATCCCCTTGATTTAAAAGCCTGAGG